TGCCCCTGGCCCTGGCCTTGCAGCCGGGTCAAGGGCAGCCGTGAGGGCTGCTGGGGTCCGTGGTTCCCCACAGCCGTGAGGGCTGCCGGGGTCCGTGGTGCCCCGCAGACGGAGCGCAGGCTCGTTGCTGCATGTGAGGGGGAAATTGGGTGTTTTTGGGGCCCAGAAGGTTATTTTGATACTCAAAGTCCTCCTTGCTGGCCATGTACCCACTGGGGTGTTTGTCCTTGCTGTGAGGGTGCATTTTGGAGTGGATTTCGCTGGAACCTCTACACGCCATGCGCTGGGCTGCTGGCTGGGTCATGGCAGAGCGTCCAGGCTGTAATGCCCTGGGGACGAGGGCTTTTATGGCACTAAGTGTTCTATTTCAGTAATGACTTGGCTCCTGCTTCTCTGCAAGCCACAGCCCAGACCTGTTGTGTTGGAGCGAGGTGCGCTGAGGCACTCAGGTTTCCCAAAGCCTGTCTTTGGTTTTGGTTTACCCTTTCTGTATGAGCTACGAGTGAAAGCGACTTCTGTGCCACTTGCTCGACCCGCTCCAGTGGTGGGACTGAAGGTTCCTTCCTATGGAAAAGGTCACAGCAACAGGCTGTGGATGAGAGCCGCAGGCTTCTGCGTCACAGCCCCTTTGTTGCAGTGTACCTGGAGACGTACGGCTGCCAGATGAACGTCAACGACACCGAGATCGCCTGGGCCGTCCTGCAGAGGAGTGGCTACGCCAGGACAAAGGAGCTGGGTGAGGTAAGGCCCCTGGCAGCTCTGCTGTGCCTGCACCGCTGCTGTGCCCGCCAGCCCCAGCTCTTGTCTGGAGCGCAGTCCTGCAGCACGTTGTGATTTTTGCAGTCTGGGTTCTGTGGAGTAAAGGAAACCACTTAACAAGTGTGCAGGAAAGCTGTGGGTTGTCTTTTTTCTCTAAACTGCTGGGTTCCCTCTCGGCTGGAGAGGGATTGGGCACAGCGGGATGCTCCTGACTCATCTTTGTGTGAGCTCTGCCGTGTAGCAAAGGCTCTGCTTGCCTTCTGTTGGTTTCCTGCTCCTCTGTTTGTTGAAACCCACCGTACTCGGGCAGGTCTCTTTCACCGAGTTAAGTGTGTTCTGTAGTCTGCCCCTGCAGGTTACCCGTGCAGGGCGTGAGTGCCTCCCATCTGGCTTTTACAACGTTGTCCTCCTTTTTGTTCTCAATGTAGGCAGATGTGATCCTCCTGGTCACCTGTTCTGTGAGGTAAGGGAACTTTGGTCACCGCTGTGACAGTTTTGGCACCACTTTGGACAGTTTTAAGGAATTCCCGTTTGAAAACTGAGGCGCTAAATGTGTTGTGTGAGGGAAAGAACACGCAGGTGGGAAACTGCCCGTTTAGCTGAGGGTAGAGGAGCTGCTGCTGTGATCTGTGATAAAACAAGGGGAAACGGCACCAAGCTGTGCCAAGGGAGGTTCAGGTCAGAGATAAGGAGGAAGTTCTTTACTGAGAGGGTTGTCAGAAGCTGGAACAGGCTGCCCAGGGAGGTGGTGGAGTCACCATCCCTGGATGTGTTTAAAGAGCGGGTAGACGAGGTACTTAGGGATATGGTTTAGGGGGTAGACAGGAGCGGTTGGACGTGATGATCTCAGAGGGCTTTTCCATCCGAGCGATTCTGTGATTCTGTGATCTGTAGCATTAACTGTGCTGTGAATTGCTTTTCTGTATAGTGAGCAGTTCTTTGGTAGTGGACGCTCTGTGTGCGCGCCATGGGCAGCTGGAGACCTACACAGATTTGTGCTTAAAATTTATTTATTTTTAAAACATTATTCTGTTTTCTCTTGAAGTGATTTGTCTCTGGTACAGGGTCTGGTACTTCAGAAATTTGGGAAATACACTTAGGGGCAAGTTGGGATATAAATATAAATATATAAGGAACCTGGCTTGTTTCTGGATGCAGATGATATCAGATACTCGTTGTAGCTCATATTGACTGACTAAAGTGACTTTTCCTCTGCAAGAGCTTAGTCCCCGAGTTGCTTGTGCAGCGCAGATGTTCCCAAGCACGCAGAAAGATAGCAGACCAGATAGAGTCAAGACTAATCCAGTACCACAGACACACTTCTGTGTGCCATCAGATCTGTCAGGTGGATGATTCCCTGTGTGTAGTGAATTCTCCTCTCAGAGTGCTTGGGCGGCTTCATGCTGGGGGCTGTTAAAGTGCAGCAATGGGAATAAAACTGTCTGTGCTCAGTGCCACTGTTGTGGCTCCGCAGGGAGAAGGCAGAGCAGGCCATCTGGAATCGCCTGCGGCACCTCAAGGCGCTGAAGGCCCGGCGGCAGCAGGCTGGCTTACCCCTCCGCATCGGGATTCTAGGTACGTGCTGCAGGGGTAGCACCCTCCTCTGTGCCACATCCCATCGTGCTGCGTTTCCTTGTCGCCTCCAGCAGCACCAGGCCTTTTCTGCGGGGTGCAAGCAGCCTGTGCAGGGGTGCAGAGGTGTAACAGAGGTGGGCGCTTCCTCACGAGGACCCTTCTCCTTTGGTGACAGGATGCATGGCCGAGAGGCTGAAGGAGGAGATCCTGCACAGGGAGAAGCTGGTGGATATCGTGGCAGGCCCTGATGCCTATCGGGACCTTCCCCGGCTGCTGGCCGTGGCAGAGTCTGGCCAGCAAGCTGCTAACGTCCTGCTGTCCCTAGATGAGACTTACGCAGATATTCTGCCTGTCCAGACCAGCGCAGGCGGCACAACGGCGTTTGTGTGAGTACCTTTTCCTCCTCTGCCTGTTTCTGTGGTCCTGGTCTGAAGCGCTGCCGTGCAGAGCAGACGTGTCGGTGACAGGGCTGCCCCAGAGGTGCAATGCCTGCTTGCGCTCGCTCCCGGCAGCCCAGAGGCGAGAGTCTGCCAGGCTGCGTGTGTGCTGCTGTCTGACAGCCCTGGAGATGCTGCCCGTGCGCTGGCTGGCTGCGGGCTTCTCCTGCTCTCCTTGGAGAGCCTTGATTGTCTGAGCCTGATGCTGCACCGAGTGATTTCTGTCCCCTGACGTCTGTGCCTTTCTTTAAGTCAGTGCCTTTGTCAATCCCTTGCCTTCTGCTATGTCCTGCCCCAGGTTCTCCTGTTTAATTCTTCTAATCCTCCGTGCATTGTAACTTCTGTCAGTTTTGTTTCTGTGTGTTTCGTTTTGATAATGAGTTTCCCAAACATGAACTCAGACTCTGCTCGGTGTGGCCGTGGAGTCCAGAGGGACAGAGTCCCCCTCTGCAGGAGCAGGATGTGGAAGGGTTTCACCACTGCCAGACTGCAGCACAAGTCTGGGCCTCATTAGTTGCTTTCCACGTTCCCTGGAAATGTGCACGGGGAATGAGGAGGTGTTAGCGAGGGGCGCGCAGAAGCCAGCTCTGGCTGGAGCGGGGTGTACGGGGAAGCTGCAGAGCTGGGCTCAGAGCTGGTGCTGTGTGTGCTGAGGCCAGGGGAGTCAGCTGAAGGCAGCAGCGCTGGTTCAAAGCAGGGCGGGATGCAACACGGATGATTCTTCGGAGCGATTGCAGCGTGACCTGTGCTTTACCTCTCGGCAGATCCATCATGCGGGGCTGTGACAACATGTGCAGCTACTGCATCGTGCCCTTCACCCGTGGCCGCGAAAGGAGCCGCCCCATCGCGTCCATCCTGCAGGAAGTGAGGATGCTCTCGGATCAGGTGAGGCAGAGCCCCAGTCTGTGGGTGGAAGGAGGGGTCTCAGTGAAAGCGTTCCCAGTGATGCCTCTGAGCGGTGACACTGCCTCTATCAGTGGCTGTGGGGTTACCATGGGGTTCCACAGCGGCTTTTTGATTCCCCTCGTAATGCTCTGAGACAGATGGCGAAGGGAAGGCTTCCCCTGGAGACTCCTCCTTGAAGTAGGAGTAAAACTGTGGCTGCCCTTGCAGCTCAGCCATCCTGGTCGGGTTCTGTTTTTTCCTCTCTTTTTATCTTTGTAGGGAGTGAAAGAAGTGACCCTGTTGGGTCAGAACGTCAACAGCTTTCGAGACACATCTGAGGTGCAGTTCCAGTCAGCCGCTGCCCCCGTCCTCAGTCGTGGCTTTAGCACCATCTACAAGGCTAAACCGGGAGGCTTGCGCTTTGCACATCTTCTAGACCAGGTTTCTAGAATCAATCCAGAAATGAGGATCCGTTTCACCTCTCCGCACCCCAAGGATTTTCCTGATGAGGCAAGTGTGAAATAAGCACCCGGAGCTCTGCTTGCAGACAGCTCTGAGCTGTTGTATGTGGCTGTGCTTCCTTCCCAAAGGGAACGCGAGTCACAGGATGGGAACAGCAGCTCCTGGGAGGGGAAATGTTAGTGCCAGAGCTGGCAGGTCTGCAGTTTGCTGGCTTTTACCCACGGGAAAACTCTTCCCCTTGGCTTCCCAGTGGAGTGGAGCTGTCTGTGACGTTGTGTCCTGATTGCCCATCGCAGGTCCTGCAGCTCATCCAGGAGCGACCCAACATCTGCAAACAGCTTCACCTCCCAGCCCAGAGCGGGAGTACGCGGGTCCTGGAGGCCATGCGGCGAGGGTGAGCGGTCACCACAGGGAGTCCTGTGCCCTGCCCTCTGGTTTAGGGTGCTGGTTTCTCCTCACTGATGCTGTAGCTTTCTGATTAGCAAACCTATGTATTGTTTGTTGCAGATACACAAGAGAAGCGTATTTAGAGCTTGTGTACCACGTGCGTGACTCCATTCCAGGTACGAGCTCCCCTTAGCTTGTTCTGAGCTCAGCACGGCTGTATCGTGCTGCCCTTTCCTGAGTGAAGTGTTCCCCTCTTCCTTGAGGGAAGTGTAATGCTGTGTCTGTGTCACAGGAGTCAGCTTAAGCAGTGATTTTATTGCTGGCTTCTGTGGAGAGACAGAAGAAGATCACCAGCAGACCGTGTCCTTGCTGCGGGAAGTCCGCTACAACGTAGGGTTCCTGTTTGCCTACAGCATGAGACAGGTGAGTGCAGGAGCTGACGGAGAAGCCTGTTAGCTCTGGGTATCTCTCACCTGAGGGAAGTGTAACGCTGTGTCTGTGTCACAGGAGTCAGCTTAAGCAGTGATTTTATTGCTGGCTTCTGTGGAGAGACAGAAGAAGATCACCAGCAGACCGTGTCCTTGCTGCGGGAAGTCCGCTACAACGTAGGGTTCCTGTTTGCCTACAGCATGAGACAGGTGAGTGCAGGAGCTGAGGAGAAGCTTGTTAGCTCTGGGTATCTCACCTGACTCCTGAGTCCCTCGCAATAAGACACTAAAAGAACCCAGCTATTGAAAATAATACTTTGAGACTTGGTTTACTGGTAGATTTCTCTGCTTGCATGCAGCACTTCTAGGGTACGTGGCTGTGCAAGGGCCACCTCTGTAAGTACTGTAATGCATGGAAAGCTGTTGCTTGAGGAGCAGCCGAGCTGGCTGGAGTCAGACAAGGCTCTGATCTCGGGCTGTGGTTACTGAGGGCCGCGCTTGCTCCGTCTGTTCACAGAAAACCCGGGCGTTTCACCGGCTGCAAGACGACGTGCCTGCAGACGTGAAGCAGAGGCGGCTGCAGGAGCTCATCGCTGTCTTCCGGGAGGAGGCTGCGAGGGCGAACCAGGCGATGGTGGGCCAGTCCCAGCTGGTGCTGGTGGAGGGGGTGAGTGTTCCTAACAGAGCTGTCCCTCTCTCCTCTCGCTGGCCAAGAGGCTCTTAGGCTGCACACAGCGACCGTCACCACTGCCTTCCCTTCTCACGTTCCCTTCACAATCCCAGGACTCCAAGGCCGTATCACCGCACTTTAGCACAGCCTGGTTTTCTAGGGCTGGGCACAGGGGATGGGGTAGGTTACAGACGTGGCACTGGCCAAGCAGGCTTTGAGACATTGGCTGTGGGTGTCAACGCAGCAGCTCTGGCCGCAGCACTTTGTTAGGTGGCATGGTTAACAGCGCGGAACGTGGATTTTAATACTGGCAATAGTGCTTAATTAATTCCCAAGGCAGTAAAGCCTGGCAGTGAATCAGAGCTGTTGCCATGCAGGTAATGGTCCCTGTCCTCCTTTCAGCCCAGCAAGCGCTCTGCCTCCGAGCTGTGTGGGAGGAACGACAGCAACATCAAGGTGATCTTCCCTGACGCCGAGGCGCAGGACGCTGCGGGCTGCGAGGCTCCCGTCAGAGCCCAGCCAGGGGACTACGTGCTGGTGAAGGTGACTTGTCTGCAGAGCTGCCTTCCTTGGGCTCTTTTTCCTTCACAGCGCTGTTCTCCAGAGCAGCTGCTGCCAGGAGAGCCTAAAATTAGAATGGAGCTCCTCAGCCTTTCTGTTCCTGAGCTCTGCTGTGCTGTTTCTTGCAGGTAACCTCTGCCGGCTCCCAGACCTTGAAGGGAGTCCTGCTCTGTCGCACCACCCTCTCCCGCTCTGCGGCTTCTCGATGAGGTGTCCCTGCTGCCAGAAAGGGCAAAAAGCAGCACGTTGTCTCCAGGAAGAAACAAGGAAGCTTGGTCAGATGGAGATGGGGTAGAAACAGGGACGTGTATGTATGTATATATATAATTTTATATATA